TTGCTCCTAGTAGTAAGGCCAGGAGCCCCTAGTAGCTTCTTGTTCCTGGTAGTAAGGCAGAAAGAACATGCCATACTTCTGCGCAGAAAGGAATTCAGTCCTCGCCACTCTGCTTGCCTTCTGGAACTGTCACCAAAAGCTGGCTGGGTCCCAAGTGTACCTCACCGTTGGTCTATGCACTTCCATGCGGCAATGCGCAATACTTTTACATGCTAAGTTGATTAATTCTACAATCTTCTCAAATCTTCTCTATCTGTTCACTCCAACTCTTTTCTATACTTCACTGCTTAACCCAGCCTCAAAGGTCTCTCCTGGCTGTCTTCCTCTCATGTTGTGGTGACGCCAGTCAACAAACTTTGGCTTTCAGGGCGTTTGGTTCTTGGTGGGCGATCAGCTGAATTGCGACTAGACTAGTCTAATGACTCGTTTTCATATGTTTTCATATACTATATGCTCGTTTAAACTAGACGGAATGTCTTTCTCCTTCCGGGATGATCGCTCTCATGTGTTGCCCATTGGCATCGAAGAAGAGCTCATCCCCTGGCGATCGGCCGGACGCGCCCCAGCGAGTGCATCCGTTCGACCGGCGGCCGGAAGACGGCCTCCTTTCTTTCCGTCCGGCACGGTGAGCAGAAAGCTGCTGGGCCTGGCAAGTGATCCTGCCTGCCTGTGACTCAGTTGATTCCAGTGCCTGAATAGGACAAAAGATTGAACAGAGTGAAAAGGTTTTAAAAAGAAAACAACGTGTTTTCTTGTTGACCTTTAGACCTTTCCTTCCTTCGGGAAGGCCGTTCTCTGGGAACCAGGCTGCTCCGGTGGTGGGGCTGGTAGGGCGACGTGAAACTCATCGCCGGGCTCTTTGCCTGGAACCACATTGACATCTGAGCCCAAAATGACCAGTGGGGTCACCACAACAGCAGACTCTCTTGATTAATAAACCCCCCATATGAAGAGCATGTTCAATTCAACTGGCTGGGGGTATTAATCAAGAGTCTACATTATATATATATATAAAACCATATAAAACCAAAACAGAACATGTAGAAATGAATAGAAGGATCATGAAGGATCTACCAGGTGAACTAGCCGTAGAACATCGGGTGTCGGGAAGACCGTCGAAAAAAAGACGACCTCTTCAACCTGACTTACTCCGGTCCCGTGCTGGAAAAAAAGGCGCTGCTTTTGGTACGTCCTCATTCAAGACATTTCTAGAATGCCCATGTGTTTACATGTAAAAAAAAAAAAACATGTGTTCTGTCAGCGTGCTTGGCTTTTGTACATGTCTATCATGTCTATGTAAAAAGAAGCTAAACCCTTTGCGGAGTCTGTTATAGTCTGTTAACATCGAGGTGATCTTAAAGCACAGTCTTCAAAGGCCTTCCGGCACCACCGCTTCCAGGTTATAGCCATGGGGCCCAGGAAAAACAATCTTCTCACCTGCGACAAGCGAGCCAGGGTCTTCGGGTATTCAAACTGTCGACAAGCGAGCATTTCCGTTTGTCTTTGTTATATACCTAATTTTTCAGGGGAGGGGGTCGGGCGTGAAGAAAGAGGGGGAAGGCAAGCGGAATAGAAAGGAAGCTAGACTTGGGGCTCTGAAGGGGGAAGGGTTCGATTTTGGATGGGAAACTTGTTGTTTTCATGAAATTGAACATGGCATTATTAGGTTGAAGGCCATAAGTTGGAGGCCCATCGCTACTAGACTAGTAACAATAAAGCTTACTAGATACACTTTGAAACATTTTGAAACTATGTCTCAACTTCTCAACTCGGATTTCCCCCGCCTGGCTTCACGCCCTCCGGCACTTTCACCCGAGCCTCACAAGATAGCACTTTGGCCGACATGCCCCACGGGCTTTGATGGAGGTTCCCCTGCCTGCATGGGTACAGGTGCATCATGCTGAATAAGGACGTAAAACCTGAGATTCAGCACGAGAACAGAAGTTGGAGGCCATCGCTTCTAGGTTGGAGGCCATCGAAAGACATTTCCCAGTCTCATTATCGAATCCAGCGCTTGAGACGTTGGCTCATCTCCAGCCCGTTTGTCCTCGGGCACCTGAAGACACAAGGGAACAAGCTTCCTCGGCTTTGCGAGGCCAAGATAGCCAAGTGTTGCGTTCCCTTGGGGTTGCGGCTTTGGTCTGCAGCTGTTGGCCAGAAGGGGACGTGAAGTAGACCTTGACGAAAGGCACGGAAAACCAAACGTGGACAACTTCGTCGACTCCGTCGGGTCGGTCGATCTGTCTTTTCGTCAGAGATGAAATTGCCTTCATCTGTGACAAACACAAGAAGGACTGCTTCCTGTTTCTACAGGACTGAGAACCAGTGAAAACAACATGAACCTTCTATCTACCAGTACTACATAGGTTAGCACCAGGTGAAGCACCAGGCTAGCACGAAGACAGCTGAGCTCATGACCATTTGCCCAGGCTCGACACCTGCAGGCACCTTGACTTTGAACTTCGCTACCTGACGGAGCAGGTGACGGCGGTCTGGTGATGGCGGTCCACTATGCAGCAGAGATCATCCCTAGCGACGCCAGCGATACCTTTCCACGCTACACTAAAAGACTGCAATCCAGATCAATCCAGACCGATCAAAAGTGGTAGCTTCCAGGCTTATACTACTCTTTTCGGGCCTCCACCCTACTAGTGATGGCCTCCTACAAGCGATGGCCTTTCGAGCAGAACCGAAATGGAAAAAACAGAACAGTTCCCATACCCTGCTTGTTTGAAGCGAAAGCGACACGCTTGAGCAATACTGGGAGAATCCTGCATCGACTGTTGTCTACGATCCTATTTCATCACCCGTCTCTCAGATCCACACCCCAGGCGGCAGTTGTGCCGCATCTCCATCCTGGCTGCTTCTGTCCTCAAAAATATGACTCTGAACACTCAACTTCTTCTTTCCAACATCATCCAGCCTCTTCGAACATTGCAAACACAAACATCTTTCTGCATGGTGTCTTTCTGTAACATATTCTTGAACAAAAAAAACACATCAGCTTGGCTTCTCCTGTGGCTCTTGTTTGGACTCCTCAGGCTTCGCCTCGAAAGAGAGGCACTATCAGTCTATCAGTCAAGCGGAGTTAAAAGTTGGAGATGACAGCGAGACGATGAGTAAATGTTTTGCTACTAGTAACTAGAAGCTACTAGGTGGAGGCCATCGCTAATCGGTTGGAGGCCATCACTACTAGTAACAATAAAGCTTTCTAGAAGCGCTACTAGTAGCGTCCTTGCTCCTAGTAGCGATGGCCTCCAACCTAATAGCGATGGCCTCCACCTAGTAGCTTCTAGCTACTAAAAAGAACTGAGTTTGTTTGTTCTTCATCTTATTGAATTCTTTTGTCGATCTGGATTTTGCGTTCCAGAAACCATGTTCTGGAAAGATGGAAAAGATTGGAAAAGCATAAAAGTGCACGCACCACACAGAACACATGTCTAGTTTTCTCAATACTTTTCATCAAGTGTTGTTCCCGGGCCGGTCCGCAAACATTGGAGGCATGTTGCGGACGTTCTTCCGTTGAATTCCCAGGATCTCACGTTGTCGGTTGCGCCAGCCATCTCGCACCTGGATCTGCTGGATCTGGTGACGTGTGACGAGCCACTTCAGATCAACTCGACGTGAGAGCCTTTGGGGTGAAGTGAGTTTAGAGCCAAAAACACTTAGTTGAATTTGCTAAGACTAAGCACGAAGGTTGGAGGCAAATCGCTTTTTGTTTCAAAACCTCAGCGACCTGACCTGAGTCACTACGACCGAAAGAAATGCCCCCAGACGTTTGGAGTCGTTTCCGTTTTCGTCCGTTTTCCCAGTGTCTCGGTGTCCCACCGAGACCTGGTGCAGCTGGTGAGAGCCACTGTGAGAGCCCAAATGAACGACGAAAGGAATCGAATCGCCGTCGCAATTCTCTTCTCGTGAAAACTTCGATGCCAACACAGTCAAAAAAAACACCAGAGAAAACCAACAGCTTCACTGGGTCTTTGGAGAAAGACACCAATCTCTTGACATGGATTAGGAACAAGAAGCTACTAGGAGCAAAGGGCATTTCTACTAGGATCAAGAAGCTACTGTAGTAGCTCCTGGCCTTACTACTAGCAACAAGAAGCTACTAGGAACAAGTGCATCGCTTCTAGCAACAAGTGCCTTACTTACTAGTAGTAACAAGGACGCTACGAACGGAACAAGTACATCCCGACGAAAGGTTCGCACCAAAATCCTCGATGCTAGATCCGAAGCGCTCTTTTCGACCCGAAGCGCTCTTGTGGGCCTTCGGAATCTGGGTCCTCGAGAAGCCAAGACCATCACCCCGGGGAGACCCCGATCCAAGAGGATCAGGGGAACTCCCAAGAGTGAATACACAGATCCCAAGAGCCCCCAACCTAATAGCAATGGCTTAGCGATGGCCAACCTAAGAGTACTTACTCAGATCCCGTCAGACCCCCCTTCCAGAATTCTCGCTGAGGTGATCCTTTCAGTCTCACATCCCTATGGATCCTTGTGGTGAGACTTGGTCAGAAGTATCTTGATCACTGTTGAACGATGGCATCGGTGTTGGTAAGGCCTGGAAGCGGCTTCTCTTGCACTGAATTTGGCCTGTGTCGCTTGGCCGCACATTAGCAGTCGGAGCCTGTGAGCAGGGTCCCTCCCGGCCCGGGAACTGGATCTCTGACAAGTCGACGAACGCTCATCCCAAAAGACTTACAGATCAAAAAAAAAATGTCAGACGGTTCTGGGTAAAAAGACAGTGAGATCAGGTCCCTCTCATTGAAGATGTTGAATCAATTTGAATCATGAGAAAACATAGTAGGATGCAAATGACAGCCGGGCCACTTGGTTTGCTCAACTCGCCACAAAGCAGTTTTCACAGCGCGGGCTCAGCTTGGAGAGGGTTTCTTTGCCCTCAGCTGGTTGAGTGTTTGGATTCACCCCTCATCAGGGCCTGGTGACCGGAGATCTTCCAAGCGTCTCTCAATGGGAAGACTCCTCCTTGGGGTTTGGGGCTTCCGCCAGACGGACCCAAGATTACTAGTGGTTTCTAGCTACTAATAGCGATGCACCTGTTCCTACTGGCGATGCACTTGCTACTAGTAGCTTCTAGCTACTAATAGTAATGCCCTTCTTACTAGTAGTGATGCAGTCCAAGATTACCTTAATGTAGAAAGGCGAACAAGATACTCCCTGATCCTCCAGAGCGCATGAACGTGAAAAGGATTGAAAAGGTGTGAGTGAGATCAAATGAAAAGTCGCGTGCTGTTGGTCTGTAGTTAGTAGGTCTTGTCATCCCAAAATGGTATAGATTTAGATGTTACTTGCAAAAACGACTCAGCATATTAACGTATGAAAACATTTGAAAGAGAAATCACACTTCACGAGAAAATCACACACAAGGATGCATCACAAGAGAAATCACACTTCACACAACGTATGTTGTTAAGATTTCTGCATCTCACAAATCTCCCAACATCACTGCACACTCGGATCCAACTCCACATGCTTAGGCACAGTGGCAGTTACGGCAGTGGCAGTCGCTGATGCACCTGGTTCGTGTCTGCTTTCGGCACGCGTCGCCTCCAACCTAAGAGAGATGGACAAAAAAACATGAAAACACCAAACCAACAGAGGTTGAAGGACCCTATAGGCATCTATAGGCTATCCTATGCGTCCCCCAGTAGGGTCCTGTAAGGTCACTTCACTTCTGGAAGGTCCAGGGAGTCCAGGATTCCGGGTCGACCATCGACCTTCGAAGTTGTGAAGCGGGGCGGCCTTCAGTTGCTCCATGTCTTCCGACTCCCAACTCGAAGAAAGTCCTGTCGAGCGAAGCTCCCAATGACACTGTGACGTGACGAGAGAAATAGATGCCAGTCTGACACACCAATCTCCTCCTTCATTACCACAGGATGTGACATACTGTGTTCCTTATGTCCAATGTGGTTGATTTGTAGGGATGCTTCTTGCAACAGTATCTGGGTTCTTTCAGCACATTGTGGTTCCAAATGGTTCCAAAGCAAGACAGAAGTTGTTTAAACATGTTTAAAAAAGAATTGGCCTCATTTCCTGTCTCCCCCTGGTTCTCCTGAGGTAAAACCAGGTGCTCGCCCTCGCCCTCTCGGTGCTCGGGAGCACCCTCAGTCCGCGAGGCCTTCGGTGTCACAGTCCGAAGCATCTTGGTTCGCAAAACATGGACACCGGATGCTTCATGGCAGCAAGACACATCTGCGGGGCTGCATTGCCTTCAATGACATCTGGATGCTGTTCATCTGCAACTGCAAACGCATCGCCTGGCAAACACATGTAGCGTCCTTGCTCCTAGTAGCGTCGATGCCCTTTGCCCCTAGTAGCGTCCTTGGGCGTCCTTGCTCCTAGTACCAGTAGTAAGGCCAGGAGCCCCTATAGGTAACGTCCTTGCTAGTCACAATGTGACACCCTGGCGTCGCTGGCCAACGCGCCATGCCGTGCGCCACTCACGTGGTGCCTCCACGTCTTCGGACACACCGTTGACGGCCACGATGATCTGACCCTGAGCGGACGGAGGGACGTATGAACTGCCAAGTGTCCTTCAGTCATGTTCTTCACGTTTCCCTAGAAATTAGGAACCAAATGAGTGCGAGCGCTTCAAGGAAGCTCCCCCCCGGCCCGGCAGGGGGAGCTTCCTGGAAGAAGCGTGAGCTATCCTGTGACCATACTAGTAGCTACTTAAGCTACCTAGCTACTACTAGCTACCTTTAGCGGCCTACCCCCCGTTTTAAACAAAAGAGACGTTTTTGTTTGCCTCCTTGACCTCGCTATTGGGATGTAGTGTGTTCCACCTGAGCCGTTCCGAAAAGTTCACGCCACGGCAATCGCCAAACATCGCTCACTTCGGCAAAGACGTGACGCAAGGAGCCCCCTAGTAGCTTCTTGTTACTGGTAGTAAGAATGCTCCAAGTAGTACGGCCAGGAGCCCCTAGTAGCATCCTTGCTCCTAGTAGCGACGCCCTTTGCTCCTAGACCTACTAGTAGCTTCTAGCTACTATTAGAAATGCCATGAAATGCCGTTACTAGTAGCTTCTTGTTACTACCAATGGCATCCCAATGGCCAGGTCTTCTTTTTTCACGTTCCAAAGGTGATTCTCTTGCCTCGCCAGCAGGCCACTGGGATCAATCCAGGTGATCTGGAGAGACCTTCCGAACTTCCCCAGCTCGAAAAAACGAAACCAGGAAGCTGAATGAAGCTGGAGAAAAACGATACATGTTGGAGAAAAAGATCATTGATGATCTGCTGTGGAATCGAGAACTTTGCACATGTCATTTCACCGAGAACACCTTTGAGCACCGGTAGATTCTTGCGACAAGTGCCTACCATCCTGGACAGGCACGTTGGCAAAGCCGAAACGGTCCGGCTTCATGCTCATCTCCTCAGATTCAGTGGTTTGCACTATTGAGCAATGGTCTCCAACCTAGGAGGGGAACATGATAAAGACTCTCTCTCTCTCTCTGCCTCTCGTCAAGGCCGTTACCCGCTTCACCCCACACTTCCGGCAGAACTCCGAATCGGGCATAAACCTGAGGTCTCAGGGGAAGCTGCTTGTTGAACAGTTGGCACGTCATTCACAAGTCTCGAAAACTGGAAACCTATCAGTTGGCATGCTTGATGAACACCTCTTCCTTACACAGTTTTACCATCCTCACTTCTCTTCACATTGATCTAGGTAGACGTTCAACCGATACTGTTTGCACCTGGACAGCAATTAATTGGGCATTAAACCATTGAACCCTTTCATCGCTTTTAGGCTGGAGGCCATCGCAAGTGGGTTGGAGGCCATCGCAAGTAGGTTGGAGGCCATCGCTATCAGGTTGGAGGCCATTGCTATCAGGTTGGAGGCCATCGCAAGTAGGTTGGGGGCCATCGCTAGTAGGTTGGAGGCCATCGCAAGTAGGTTGGAGGCCATCGCAAGTAGGTTGGAAGCCATCGCAAGTAGATTGGACGCTATCGCTATTAGGTTGGAGGCCATCGCTATTAGGTTGGAGGCCATGGCTAGTAGGTTGGAGGCCACCGCAAGTAGGTTGGAGGCCACTGCAAGTAGGTTGGAGGGGCCCCATCGCAAGTAGGTTGGAGGTCATCGCAAGTAGGTTGGAGGCCATCGCTAGTAGGTTGGAGGCCATGGCAAGTAGGTTGGAGGCCACCGCAAGTAGGTTGGAGGCCATCGCTAGTAAGTTGGAGGCCATCGCAATTAGGTTGGAGGCCACCGCAAGTAGGTTGGAGGACATCGCAAGTAGGTTGGAAGCCATCGCTATTGGGTAGCCATTCGTTGGGCATCGAATCGATTGAATCCTTTCAGCCTTTCCTGGTAAAGTCTATCACTGACCTAGGCTCCTTGCACATTGCCACAACTAGTGCAGGTGGTTGCAGGTCCAGTGGGATCCTGAACCAGCTCCGACACCGACAACACCCGCTCCAAGACTATACGTGACTTGGGGAGATCCATGGATCCAAAACGTGACTGACTTCATTATAAAACATAACGACGTCGCGCAGGTGCCTTACTCAGGGTCACATCGAACAGCCTGCCGTCCCGATCTCGAGAGTAGTCCTGCGAAGGTCAAACGCGCTGTTGTCAAGTGGCAATTGGTCAACAAAAGGACTGGCCGACTGGCCTTCCCATTCGCGAAGGACACGCTCCTGTCAGACATATTATGTCAGAAAATCAACAATTCAGAATTCTCACATGACTCATGACTGCAATTTGGCTTGCAAGAGCGCTTCCTTTCAGTCATGTTCAGTCCTTGGATTGCCTTACCCCTTAGTCTTTTTAATAGCAAATGTGCTCCTTCTGCTCCTTCACGGCTTTTTCTCCCCATTGCTACGGGGTCGGGTGAGACCAAATCCTTCGGTGAGGTGTCGGGGTGCAGTGCGATTGCACTTCCGAACTACGGCCTGAAGGTTTCCTTCAGGGATTAAGTTGCTCCACAGAACTTTCGGAGTCAAAATCAGTCCGCTTTGATCCGACCCTTCGGTTGTTTAGAACCATCCGCTGCCTCGGCGTGAGTGCAGATTCCATTCGACGGCACAGAGTCACAGAGCACTCGAACTGCGAATCCCACCTCGACATCACGCAGGCACAAAGGGCAGACCTGGCAGAAGAAAGGAATGTCAATGGCCTCCAACCTAGCGATGGCCTCCAACCTACTAGCGATGGCCTCCTCACCCCTACTTGAGCGCAACGTGACCTTCATACTGCAACAAGACATCACTGTCGTCTTGGAAAGCCAGTCTGTGAACGGCCTGATTCCGCCGAAGCCAGCGATCGATGCAGCTCTGGTGAAAGCTGTGGCTGCACGGCAAACGACGTAGAGCTTCACCTCCTCACACACGAGTCAAATCGAGTCGTGCGAGGCTAGATTCTCCAGAAACGCCCACATGCTCACATGTGTGGGTGATCACTGTCTTGAAGAATGCATCGAAATCAACCACAAACACCCATGGAAAAAGACTGATTGTAGGACACACTGAGCCGCCCCACTATCGAAGCTTCCCACTGAGCCGCCCGACTGTCGAAGTCGCACAAACACACAGCGCAGCTGCTGTCACGGCTCCGCCGCACATGTTCCGCTGCGAGGTCCTGGAGATCACCCGACAGCGTAGCAGCGGGATCCGATGGGCCATTCGCTGGCATCATCTGATCCATGTGAGGACAAAGATGGACAAAGGAAAACCCCCTTGGAGGTTTTGCGATTGGCACCCCGCCCTGCTTCAATCGTCGAAAAAGGACGTCCGAAATCTCATCCTGCTTCCAACGAGTGAAAGAAAAATCCTGGACGTGCCACGAGAAAAACGCGACTTCGACCCGCACCTCAGGGTCGAATTTGAAGAGTGGCAGGGAATCGATCAGCTCCTTTGAGGCATTGCTTTCCCCGTGTCGGAACACACTGTTCCATACCGTTCCATATCTCCATCTCTCAGGCATGGCATCTGCAGTGGAACAACGCATCAAAATGCAGAAAGCTCGCTAGATCTACCACGGTCTCTCGCCTGGGTTGCGCCCCGTGGCTTTGGCAACGTGGCCTGATCGCTGAGGAAAGGGGTACCGGTAGTTGAGTCCCACCTAAACTCAACATGTTTGTTGCAACGAAGATCGGCAAAACCAAAGCCTAAGGCCTTACATACAACCTTTTTGTACAGCCGCAAGAAAAACAAATGCACGAGATTGTACTGCACTGGCGCCGCTTACGTCCCGATCAGCTTAGTTTCTTCAAAAGCCCCTTGGCATGCAAATTTGATCTCAAATGGTGACATAAGCTCATATTGAATCATATTGACATCTTCAGCTTCAGCTAATACTTTGCCAAATGTACTACCCCATGCCACTAGGCTCGCAGGAATGCTTCGTTTTCAGTCAAAGCAAGGACCACACTGTCGCTACCCTCATTGTTCTTCTTCCCCTGCAAACCCACAAACCCCAACCGTCATTCGGAACCGTCGGCCTCACCACGCACCGGGAAGCAACGATTAAAGACCACCTGAGCTTCTCCGATCCTTCAGAGCGTTCCGTCTCGGACGTGCACGTCTCGTCTCGGGTGGTCTCGTCTCTTTTTTGAGGCTGCGGCTAAGGTCATGAGTAGCTTCACAAAAGAGGCCACGACCACAGTCAAGGACAGCCTCAAAACGTCCGAAAAGTAGAAGTCGCATCCAAAAACACCCAGATCGTGGCACACTACCAGAAGCACTGCGAATTCACAGCTGTCAAGTACTCTCACCGTCTTGCGATCTGTTCCTCTGAACCGCCAAAGGAGAAATTCCACCTCGCGAATCCTGCTTACAAGTAGCTACTAGTAACAAGAAGCTACTAGGGGCTCCTGGCCGTACTACTAGGAGCAAGGAAGCTACTAGGAGCAAAGCGCATCGCTACTAGGAGCAAGAAGCTACTACCTAATACAAAGAATACCTATGACAACCTAATACATCCTAATACTGATGCGCACCTGTAGAGGCCAGGGCAACTGGGGCAATATGTGGAGTTCAGCAACCACACGACCTGGGACCGAGCAGGACTCTGTTGGAGGAACTGCTGTTGTTCTTTGCGATGCCGCTGATACCCAACATAGGTATCACATCATCAGCATCCAGGAGCACTGAGATGCTTGCAGGATGATAAGCATGGGAGGCGCCAGTGATATCAGAACAGTATTAAGGAGAAGCCTCTCCATGATTGGGCTGATATATTGCAGTGAGGGTGTTGACAGTCTGCAGGATTGTTGGAAAAAAAGAAATTGACAAAAGGATCTGGGGAAGATTCATGCACTGAGTGAGATGTCTATCATGTTTCGCAGTGTAAGGATGGAGACTCTGCACAAAGTGGATGAAATCAAAGGAGCAGCAAAAAGATCAAAAAGGTCCAAGAACTTGTCGTTTGAAGCCATTGGCTTCCCCATGTGTGTGCAACACTGGAACAAGCTGCTTCATACCTGTCTATCTCGTGTGCGAGTTCAGAAGGAACGAGGAGTGTGAAGCTGCAGGCTTAGTTCAAATCATGAAACTATGCTGATACATCTGTTTTCAACCATGGTCCTTGTCACTTAGCCCTGATGCACTCTGCTTGCATCCAAGTAGCACCCAACACAAACCAGGCATAGCTGGAGATCGACACCAACTGCCAAGGGCCGTGCTGTTTTGCTTTTTTGCGCCCATCACATCAAAAGACAATCACCAGGCATTCAATAAAATCCCTAAGGGCAGCGGGAACCTCATGGTTCTCATTAAGTCCTCAAAAAGTCCTCATCAGCCTCCCCATCCCATCCACGGTGCATGCCCACAGATCATGGAGATCCGACTTCCCAAACCAAAAGCATCAGGGCTCGAATTGTCGAAACAAGTCCAGTGGAGGCAATAGCTTGCTCGCTATAGATAGGTGGAGGCCATCGCTAATTGGGTTGGAGGCCATCGATATTAGGTTGGAGGCCATCGCTATTAGATGGAGGCCATCACTACAATGTTGGAGGCCATCGCTATTAGGTTGAAGGCCATTGCTATTAGGTTGGAGGCCATTGCTATTAGGTTGGAGGCAATTGCTAGTAGGTTGGAGGCCATCGCAAGTAGGTTGGAGGCCATCGCTAGTAGGTTGGAGGCCATTGCTATTGAGTTGGAGGCCACCGCAAGTAGGTTGGAGGCCATCGCTAGTAGGTTGGAGGCCATTACTATTAGGTGGAGGCCATTGCTGTTAGGCTGGAGGCCATCGCTATTAGGTTGGAGGCTATCGCTATTTGGTGGAGGCCATTGCTGTTAGGCTGGAGGCCATCGCTATTAGGTGGAGGCCATTGCTATTAGGTTGAAGGCCTCGCTATTAGGTTGGAGGCCATCGCTATTAGGTGGTTGCATTGGTATTGGGTTGTAGGCCATCGATATTAGGTTGGAGGCCATCGCTAATTAGGTTGGAGGCCATCGCGATTAGGTTGGAGTTCGCTATTAGGTGCAGGCCATGGCTATTAGGTTGAAGGCCGGTTGGAGGCCATCGCCATTAGGCGGTTGCCATTGCTATTGGGCTGTAGGCCATCGCTATTAGGTTGGAGGCCATCGCTATTAGGTTTGAGGCCATTGCTATTGGGTTGCAGGCCATCGCTATTAGGTGGAGGCCATCGCTATTAGGTTCCACAGTGGCCTAAAGTGTCGAAAGCGTCTGGCCTTGCTACTCCTCCAGGCAGGAGCCTGCGTGAGCTGTCGCATGCACTCCTCACAGCAAGCTGTCGGGGATCCATGAATGCCTGTGGCCACATCATTTAGCTCAGATGGACCTGTGTCTGGCTGGCTACTTGTAGAACTCTTAATGGAGGAATGACTGGACAAACACCGATCGGCGGCAACTACTGGTACACCGGTTATTTATGAAGCGTTCGCCACTGAGAGAGTTCCGTCACCGCAAAATGGTGTTCATCACCAAAATAGGCATGAGAGATCTCAAAACACAAGCAGTTTCGAGAAGACAACCCTCTCCTGGATGTCACCATCCAAGCGCTGCACCTCCTTGAGAGGCACGAGGATCGACACGTGGTGAGCCATGAGTGTTGTTGGGCGTCGCATGACTCATGTAAACCGTTGTGCAGCCATGGTGAGCCATGATAAGCCTGATTGTGTGTGTGGTTTCTTTATGTTTCTGTATTCCTTTCAAGCTGCATGGAGCAACCCTTGACATGTCACGGTGTTTCCATCACTCGATTGTCCGCCAAGTATCACGCACCCGCAGGTAGAAAACAATGCGGACAGGCGCTTGCAGGAGCTGCAGGATGCAGTGTATGGCCAGCCTTGGGTCCGACCCAACATGATCGCGTACCAGCTCTAGGTGGAGGCCAATCGCTATTAGGTGGAGGCCATGGCTAGTAGGTTCCACAGTGGGCTCCATCAATCATTGAAGACGTCCCATCCATCGGCGAATCCACGAATCTCAGTCATTGCTGTCTCTTGGCCTGCTTCACTTCTCTAAGGCTGCTGCCAACATCGCAGTGGCCTGTTACACAGCCTGCATGGGGCATGCTCAGATCCCTACTTCTTCTTTTGGCCTCTCGCTTGTCAAAGAAATCTCTTCTGCAACAACGCCCTTGCTGAAACATGGTACCACCTGAACACAGAGGCCTCTTCATTCCGGACACCTACTTTCTTCAATGAAAAGGCTTTGTCCGTGTCTTCTTTGGATCGTTTGATTACATCAGTTGGTCGTCTCCAAGAAGCTACACAATCCCGTGGCGTCACCTGCGACCCCGCACCTACAAGGATCCCAGAAGATCAAAAGGAAAAGCCCACATGGCACCACTGTGACCTCGATTCGATCGAGTTCACGCCTCGATCGAAGCCCGCGCACGATACGCATAGCGACATCCGGCATGTTCAGCTTCCAAACTGCGAACGGCCGAGTTCGCACGGCCGAGTTGGCCAAACACACGTCGGACGAACCGCACGAAACGTTCCGAGGCGAAGGCCAAGCTCGAAACGCTGCCGTAGAACATCACCACCTCAAAAGACGGGCGGCCCGTGAGAACCCCCCGTGGGCGCCACGTGGAATCAAAGGAGTACGGATAAACATGGTATACGGAAGACGGAAAAGAATCAAAAAGAATTGAACTTTTGGAGAAACCATCTAAAAGATGTCTTAGGTTGGAATCATCTAAACTCAAACCATCAATAACCATCAATAATCATCATCGATCAAACGAAGAGAAAAAGGAAATTAAGAAAACCATCTCGCTCAGCCTTGATGAACCAGGCTGCCTGCAAGGAAAGACGCTCGGAGCAGCTTTTGGTGAACCAGCTCATGTTCTTTCCAAGCCTCCTTGCTGAGGAATATCAGTTGAAAAATGTTGAAAGCTTCAATAGTAATTAGTGGTTTTGAGGGGCTAACTGGACATACTACAGCCTATTTTGGATAGATTCTCGCTATTATATACTTTTGAGCTATCCAGTCCTTACGGTGTCTCCCGTGCCTCACAGTTCATTGACCGAACAACGAGTCTGGGCCGGGCCTCATTGGGATATTGCTGGACCACATCCAACAAGGGATCAGGATTCTCGGCCTGATCAGGGAGTGTTGTGCATTAGTCCCTTTTTGTGGAGTCCATCCAGTCATTTTCTGAAGTCTTTTTTCTGGATATCGATTCACTGAAATCTCACTCAGTGTCAGTGTAAGCAAGGCTCTCAAAATGAACAAGAGAATAGAACGGGAACTGGGTCTCACTGTGAAGAATCTGAAATTTTGATTCACAAACTTGGACATTCACTGTTCGTACGACCAGTTTCAGCATGGCAATCTCGGCTGCTCCTTGTACACTCGACACACTTTCTGGTCCCTATACTCTACATGTGGCCAAGTCATGAGTGAAGGCTTTCCGGACTCGCGACCCTTTCCAGTAATGCTCAGAATGCAGTCTGATTGCCCCAAAGGCCAAACAAGCACCATGCCCACTCGAATCCCACACGACGTGCTCGACTCGTGCACGTCGGACGCGTGCCTCGCGGCCAGTCCCATCAAAGAAAGACAGAAGTCTTCGCTGCACAGACCGGATCAGTCGATGAAGAACCGGTGGCATCCTAAAGCTACGCCGCCGAGTCTGGGGACCTACGTGTCAGCCTGGGGACCTACGTCATGCAGCTGCTGACCTACGTGTCGAAAGTCTGTCGAAAGCTTCACTGTGCTTCACTCTGTTGGTACTGTCCTTTTATGGCTGTGCGTTTTCACTGGTTCTTGTCATGGATCAAACCTTGCTTGTCATCTCTGTGAACCGATGGCTTTCAACGCGGATGGATGGGAGATGTTGCAACTCGTTTGACGCACAGCTCGTTCCACGGTGGCAATGGCCGCCTGACAGGGAAAGCCCCGTTGGGTACCTTGGAGAAGCGGCCACCCCGATGGCGTCTGAGGAACTCGGAATGAATCTCACCAAAGATTTGAACTCGGTCATAGTGTATCCCTAAGTCGTAGCGCAGGGACTTCTAAGCTGGAATCTTCAGGAGACTAGGTCCAAAACAACTTCTAATCTCTGAGTCTCTGAGTTAAGATAGAAGCCCACACCAGGTATTGCCAAGCAAAACAAAAACAATGACCATGAGCCCAGCTGTGCTGGTCCCAGATCATTATGCAGACTCGGTTCAGTCGCTGGGGCAGCGGACCGTCTGGGGTCCCTGGAAGGAGGTGAGTTGTTTGAGCTATGCAGCGACATTGTTGTTCTGCGACATGAGGCTCTTCAGACGGCTGAAATTTCTCGGTGTTCGATGGAAAAAGTTGCACCGCCTCCATTTGCACCATGCAGTTGGAACTATACCGAGGTCCTGTGGCAACTCAAACGCTACGAACGGGGCTCCTGGCCTTACTACTAGGAGGAAGGATGCTACGAACGGGGCTCCTGGCCTTACTACTAGGAGTAAGAAGCTATACTAGTTAGTAGCAAAGGGCTTCCACTATGCCTTCCGCAGCATTGCGCTTTGGTCAACATCCCTCGACCGTCCTTGGGGCTGAGTAGCGACTGCCGCAGGTGGCCCCTCAGTGAGTGGCACCCTTGCCTCAGGTGCAAATACATGACACACACGTTCCACACCAAATATGTTTGTTGGGAAGGCCTTCTTGTAGGCAATTAAGAGAAGGAAGGAAGGAAGGAAGGAAGGAAGGAAGGGAGCAAGAAAACGACTATTGAAAAAGATCAAAATCGTTCTTCGTAGAAATATCTTTTTTGATCTTTTTTGTAGAAGGTTAAGAGGTCCAATACCCAAGGCATCCCAAGGCGAGCGCCCTCTTGCAAGATGTGACATGCCACAGTGGCACCGGCAGGACAGATTTTACGTCCGTCTTTGTTCACAAGTCTATTGAAGCCAAGTCCGGCTTCGTCCGCAGGTTCTCTTCGAGAGTCTGAAGACGGACACGCCGACATCGGCTTCCTTCCATGCCTTCCTTATTGGAAGACATGTGGCGTTTAAAACTCAGTTCCGTTTAGAGAGACGTCAGGCTTGTCGTTCAAAACGGACACGCCGCCTTCTCTGGGTCATTCACACCGCCTCAAGGCTCACCATAGGTTCCAATCAGCAGAACTCCCACCTCGGTGTCCCCGAAGAGAAGTACTGAAGAGAAGAGAATTCCAATCAGCCAACGAGGGACGTTAGACAATCTCTGTGACCCCGTCATGGAAGTTTCGACGAAGCACATCGTATCCATCTTTGACGAAGCACGCCGACGTGTCACGACCGACGTGTCCGGCTCCCGTCGATGGGTCTCTGATTGAACCGTGGCACCAGCTGCAACGTAAAGGCACCAAAGTAGATCATGAGCGGCTTCCGGTTGGTTATTTCCTTGAACCTCATCAAACGAGGCATTGGTGCCCGGCAAGCAAAGGACAAAAAGAAATAATGGATGAAAGATGATGCAAGCTAGGTACAAAATGACAAATGTAGTAATATTATGTTGTATATGCTATGATTGATCGAATCTTGATAGTTCGCTCGATATGGCATTAAGTACCCCCCAAGAACTACCTCTTCAAATGGTTCATTGTAATTTACAGTGTTTTATTCACGTTTATATATATAATATATCCAGATCATATTGATCCATATTGATCCATGGCATCCTGACAAGCGCAATGTCCTGCGGTGTAGATTGTCCCAAATCCCATGAATTCACGGCGGCAGGGCCGCTGAGGCCCCGACACGAAGACCGACAGCAAGCTGGACACCAAAATTGGCCCAACGGCATCCAAGGTGTAACCCACCGAGTAGCCCAAATTGGCAATACCTTGAAAGAAAAGGGTAGAAGCCCCTGGCATCGCTACTAGGAGCAAGGAAGCTACTACGAACAAAGAGCATCGCTACTAGCTCTTGGAATGTCATTCGCTACTAGTAGCTCCCGTGAGTTTCTTCCCCGTTTTAGGGGGAAGGAAAGACGTGGGCAACGTCTCCAAGGTCCGAAAAAGATGCCTCAACCGAGTACTTGGAGACACCTCTGGGTCTGAGATACCCTTCATCATGCATGCAAAGCCGATGCCCCAAATGCAGCCACTGCCGTAGGCCGGGCCAATCACCGACTTCTTGAGCTTCACCTCAGCTTCGTTCGGGCGAACGGCGGGGCCGCGGAGAGCGGAAACGTGGACAAGAGGCGCCCCGCACCACAGCCAAGCTGGAATAAACAATCAAGATTCCACCTGAGTCGATTCCACTCTGGTCTTCAAGTGCTCGATCTGCAATCTGCTTCGTTTGAACCCAGGAAAGAAAAAGGAAAGGTCCTGAAGAAATTGAAAAACAACATTTAACAATAGTTTAAACAAAGAAAGTGTCAAAGCTTTGCAGCTCCTTGTCATGTTCAATCACACCCAGCCACTGGAGCAAACCCAAATCCCAAGGCATTGTGGCCTCGGCCGTGTTTTTGTTGTCTGTTATTTTGAAAAAGAATTGACTCAATTTGACTCACTCTTTCTTATGCTGTCTGAAGTTCTTTGAAGCGATGGCCTCCAACCTAGAAGCATTTGCTCTTTGCTTCTTGTTTACTGCTCACCAATCTCCCATCTCCACATAGCCCACGTGGTTGGCTTGACTGGATCTCTCGTGGATTGAAATCTGAGGGTTCTTTCTCCAGGCCCAGGTCTTGCACTGGAGAATGTCAGAATCTTGTGTCCCAGAAACTGTCACAATGAGGGCAGGTGATAAGGCCAACAACCATACTTAGTCATCCTCTCTCATCAAAGTGGGATCCAGGCATTCAGACTTGTGGTTTTGTTCTGCAATAGTATCATTAGTCAGTAGCATTTCAGGTGTGGTAAAGGCCTGAGTCCCTTGAGGTTTCGAGCGGCAATGCCACGCTAAAGGCATCCGCCTCGGGATGCTGCGCTTCCTAGGCACGTGACACGTGACCGCTTCACCCCGCTTCCTCGTGCTGTGACTGTTGTATGCAAGAGCAGAGACACATCAGTCACAGAATAGTTGTGATGCATGCTGATGCTTCAGGTAGCAACATGGGTGACAATGCAAAGCATCTTAGTGAATACGAGATTGGTACCATGCCTCGGCCTCGGCCTCCTAACAGCTTACGACTGGCTGGCCCATCCATGCTGGCCCAAGCTTCCCAAAGGGTGGCTGGCACTCCGTTCACTCCGCAAAGGACACCGGCCAAGATCGCCAAAACGACTCCCAGCACCTTCTGAGCACCTCCGGTATTCAGAGAACAAGTTGACCTGCATCGTTAAAGATACAAAACCATCATTTCCACAAAAGTACGAAGGTCACACACCTTTCTCGGTCAGGATGGGAAAGTCTTTGGGTTTGTGACCTGTAGATGTTTTGTCTTATATTGAAATACAAAAAAACACATGAATGCATATGTCAATGTGTTCTGTATTGTTCTGTGGTTGATGTAGTGGGTTTATTCATATCCGCTTTCCAACGCCCCGTCTTCACCGGCCCGGCCTGGCCCCAAGCGGTCCAAGGTGCCCAGCTCTTCCGCCTGGAGACTAGCCATCGCTGGGATGGATAACATGACACGACGTCTGGCATTGACGGAGGCCAACGACGTCATGAACTTGAAGTCTCTGTTGACAACCATCAATCATCATCTCATCAACGTCATTGTACATTTGAAAAACCTAGTCCAGAAGTGACGGCCTCTGAAAAACGAAAAGCATCTGTGCTCCTCTCAACTACTTTACCGCCGAAGAATGGTCTAGCTTTCTTGCAGGTCGTACGGTCATCATCCAACACATTGAAATTACCATCGCCCAGCCGCGCCTTTGCCATTGTACCCGTGGCTTTCACAACTTTGTCGTCTCAGTGGAGCACGGTAGGGAACCAAAGTGTGTCAAGTGAAGGAATTCTCGTGTTGTTTTGCCCTTAGGTGTGCTGCTGTAGAACATACGAGCCAAAACATGCCCTGCTGAGATCAAAACCAAATCAACATCTATCCAAAGAGAGCGTTCAACACAAAATTAGACGGTCTGGTCTAGGAACTATCGTTGTTGAAGCCTCAGACCGTCTATCCTTTTTTCGAAAGGAACTCTGAGTGCCAAGCAGCTTCCAGACTCGTCCGAGCTGCCTCGGTGAAAATCGCTTGAAGTCCAAGATTCCTGTAGCGTCCTTGCTCCCAGTAGTATGGCCAGGAGCCCCTAGTAGCGTCCTTGCTCCTAGTAGTACGGCCATGACTTGTTTGATCGGTTTCTGGGAAAACATGTATTTCTTTGGAAGACTCATTCCAAAAATCCACCCATTCATGGGCACAGGACATCGAAAGCTAGTTCATGTAAATTACATCAAAATCATATCTCGTATCTTCAGCGAAGTGACTTGGTTTTTAGCCCTTCAACCGATAATAAAATCTCCAACACTTGGCCCTTCGTGACCTAGTACTGGACTGTAAGGCCAAAAGCAATTTCCCATGGTCCAATTCCCACCTGACTCAAGCTAAGTATCATTCACTGTCAGAGTCAGAGACCTCCCCGTTCTCATGACCTGCCTAGGGAACACGCAGTGAGATCTCATCTACCAGATCAACGCCGTTTTGGTGGGTTGAGATGGCACTAGTGCACAGTAATCTGATGATGCTGAAGATGCTTAACAACACGATGCTACTTCACATGCATAGCTGTGAATCTGCCTTTGTGCGTCTCAAGGCATTGAACGAAATTGATGTCTGGGGAGGTTAGCCGGTCCAGACCTCCACAAAGACCATTGCAAAGAAGGATATAAGAATCAGAAAGCAACCGATGTCACCTGCACAGAATGTCCGATTTGTGCGAACCATAGATTTAGGCCGACTCGGTTAAATCGTTCCCGATTCAAACTGTTTCGAGACCAACCACGCACTAAGGCTTGGTGACTAAGCTTGCCAGTTCCAAAAAACTGCATTTGACTCAGACCAAGAAGAGCCCTAGTGGTTCTGGATCGGTTCCGCACATTTGCAAGTGAGGCGCAATATAGAAGCTTGCCAGTTAAGACTTTCACTCCAAAGAGCCCAAAGCGTCCGATGCAGTAACCAGTCATCAGATTCCTAGTCGGATGCCCAAACAAGTGAGTGCAGAAGCCAACATGCACGGCGAACCGATTCCCATTGCGCGCCGTCCTCTCGGAAGCGGTCCATCCACGGGTCGCTTCGTCTCGACTCCGGGGACCGAATTCGACCGCCCGAGCTCGCGCCGAGCTCGCGCCGAGCTGCACGAAGTGATAGAGGGAAAAGCCCAGGCCAATCCCCAGGAGCTTCACCAATGGCAGGACCAGATAGTTTGACGAGGCCCAAAAGACCTGTCCGCGCCGATAGTCTTGAGTCTCGACTGGTCCACTTCAGAATTATCGACATATGGGTCTTTTGGAATCGGACTAGGAGATAGATGTAAAAACTATTGGACCTTCGAACACGAACCAGTTACGAGATGTTACGAGTACATGGGAGAGCACATGACTACACTGATACATCTCTTTCGCCAAGCAACTCCACCCAGCATCACCAACGGAGAAAGCCCACGCTGAAGTTCTCCACTAGCCGCAGCAATGATGAAGCCGCACATCAGAATCCCATTGCACATAAACCATTGAAAGGCCGTTCCTTCCTTCGTCCAACTCGCGTGAGGTTCGAGACGCGTCGGAGTCCGGGTTTTGGAGTGAAATCTGTGCCGATGTGCCGTCCAAGGGACGAAAATCTCGTACTTCTTCACCTCGAATCGATTTGTGCCAATTCGGGAGGCCAAAAAGGCACACAGGGTGCGTTTGTGCTATCGAAAGACTGTTTTCGTTATCAAAGTTGAAAGCAGGGGCAAAAACCATGGAAACAATCCACCTGCCGTTCATTGCAAGTATTGCCCACACATGAGTTGCAGCCAGAACGCAGGCACATATTGAATGCCAAAGGCGATGGCTGCCACAAAAGCGTAGATCAGCCCAACAGCCTGACTCATGGCACTCACTGCCGGCACCACCTGGATTGCTTCGTCCCTTTTCTTCTGGACGCTGCAATGAAAAGTATTGAAAAGTGGTCAATGTTGGCTGGTCTTTCTTTTGCATCATTGAGCCAAGCAGAGCGACACTTGAAGCTGTGAGGCTGCGCAAAATAATCTAATGATGATGTCTGAGACACTTCTAATCCGATCTACCAAAAAAGGCCCAACATAGTTGCTCACGCCAAGGATGCTCAACGTGGTACAGTCCGGTCAGTCATGATTTGGATTCAATCGTGCCGCCCTGAGTGCCGTGCCAGTCCAGTGCCTGCATGAGAATGAATAACATCGAGTGAAACATATGGTGAGGAGGCTCCACTGAAGCCACTCTGAGAGGTGTCTCACTCTGACTTCAGTTCAGATCGTTTTTTTGGTACAAAACGCCCGCGCCTGGCACAGTCCATGGAGTCGTGCCGATGGAGGTCGGCGGCCTAGGTCAACCAATGAATCTGTCGGCCTTCAAGAATGGTGCGGCATGAACGGCCGATGCATGTGGCTCACAGGTGCACAAGACGAACGTGCGGAGGATGTTCGGACGAACTAGCCAAGGCGTCGACAGCACATTTGGCAAAGTTCGAGGACCCGCCAAGCTGCCTTAGAGTATCATCTCAGAAAGATTACCAAGTAGCCATTACAAATGGATACAATTTGTGACAGAAAGACAGTGGGCAAATTCGAGAGGTCATTGAGCTCAGTTTGAGTTGTCGCTGCCTCTATTGGATAGGTCTTCTTCTAAAGAACTGCACGCAGGCAGCGAAAAAGTATGAATATGAAAAACATCATGGATTTCTTGATCTCGAAGGCTACTTTGATGTCGTGTTCTTGTTCTGGTTCAGTGAGACGTGGACCATGAATCACAGTAGTTATTCTGAAAAGTCTGAGGACAACATGGAGTCTAACCCTTCGTTTGAAGATGTTTCCATGCTTTGTTAGACCCGATAAAACTCATTAGTAAGTTAGACTCCTTCATCCATCAATCCAGTCCATCCACAAGCCATGTCCGACGTCGTCCTCAGACTCCTCGCCTGCCAAACGATCTGCCATGGAGGCCTCTGGCGCCGTCCTCACTGCTGAAGCTGCCAGTGGCTCCTGGGCCCCACGACTCAACCTACTAGCGATGGCCTCCCCAACCTACTAGCAGTGGCCTCCAACCTACTAGCGATGGCCTCCAACCT